CAATTACAGCAGCCCTGGCTGCTTCCAAAATGGTGTTTGTGTCTTTGCTCAACACAGAGAGGAGATTCACGGTGGGATTTGCTCTCTTTGATTTATTTAAAATTCTGCAGAGGTGTCTGTAATAGCTCCTTCTCTGTCCCTGTGCTKCAGGAGCTCCATGCACAGTGAACCTCAGCCTCACTTGTCTGAGGTTTGCCTTGTTGCCAGGCTCCAAAACAGCATTGRGACCAGACTTCCTGAGCAGCACTGGGTAACCTGTCCTCTGCGTGAAGAATTTAATCAGCTGCTGACAGAACAAGTGTAGGGAGGRAAGAAAAGGGCATCATCATGGCTCTGAAAAGAACAGAGCTCCTGATAAATTTAAGGTGATTAAGGAAGAGTGGGTGGTTCAAGGTTTCTCTGGAGGGTGTGAAATCCTCCTTAGCTCGGCAGTTCTGCCTGGTGGCTTTGCTGGAATGAGCTGATGCTCCCCCTTTGGTGCCTTGGTCTGTGCTCCTGACCCACGCTCTGCTCAGCTGCCAGGACCTGCACAGAAGTGGAGTATTTTGCCACGAGGGCTGCAGGGCAGCTCTCCTAAAGGTTTGGGATTGTTCCTCCATTGGCAGGATGTTCCCAAACCTCATCAGCTGTCTCAGGTCCTCTTTTGAAGGCATCCACCCCAAGGCAGGTCAGCAAACTCTCTGTGTGTGGGAGCAGAGTCAAACTGTGGTCTGAACTCAGTCTTGAAGCTCAGCCTGCAATCCCCCAACACTTACAGAAGTTCTCACTGCACATTTCCTATGCAGCACCTTCAGCATTWGTGGATTTTTTATTTCTGGCTGCAAAAGAGGCCCCATCCCATTTGGCACTGCATCTGGCATCCCATCTTGCCACAAGAGCTGTCCCCAAGACCTGTCACCAGCCTTTTTACACCGTGGATGTTGTACGGATCAGAAACATTCTCRAGATCACTCTCAGAGATGGAAATTGCAAAGGCACCTGAATGTGTTTGATGTGGGCTTCCTGAGCAGCCACAGATGTGGGATCTCACTTAAAAAGGTGTTTTAAGATTAAAATTTAACGTTGCCAAGAGGATTAAAGTGTGGYATTTTGTGTGAAAAAGGTGCACAGGTGAGCAGCACAGGGAACCAGAACCCAACGTGTCACGTGCATTCCTTTTATCATTTCTCCATCGATAAATGTAGCAGAAATTATCATCTGCCTGATTCCCAGGTACACAGCATCCCTTCAAGGTGTGCATGGGATGCTGCCCTTGTTCATTAGGCCATTAAATATTGTTCATTAAGCCATTAAATATTAGAGAATGAGTGCAATAAAGCAGCTCTGCTCTCCTCTCCTCCCTGCCAAGAGACCCGTGCAATCAGAACCCTGGGACACTGACACCCACAGGGCTCTGCAGGACTGCACAGATCTACCTTGAAGTATCATTTTGTGGCACCTGAGAGCCCAGAATTAAACACAAAATGTTCTGGTAAGCCTTTAAATTGACAAAGAAAGCTGTTCCCCTGTGCTTGCAYGGCTCCTGGAGGAAGCTTTTCCTCTTGGAAGGACACCAGGCTGTGCCTGTGGCAGACACAGAGACTCAGCCCTGGAAAATCTCACTGAGATTTGCAGCCAGGCTGCATCTCAGGAGACTTCCTATTATTATTTTCTTTACTAATAAATCATGGTGTTGTCTCCTTCACAGCACAGGGAGTTCAAATAAACCTGTCCCTGTGACAATCTGATTCTCTGAAGGAGTGTCCTGTTCTGTTGAGTCATGTGAGAGGAAAATAAAAGAAGGAGAGAGACAGATCAAAAAGGGGTAGCAGAAAGGGCCCTGGAGGCAGACTTAAGTTTGGTATTTAATATTTCAGGTAAAATATTCACTTAGCATCAATTATCTTTTTGGGCTTTCTTTTTTTTTTTTTCTCTGCAAATGAAATTGCTTTCTGAATCAGCCAGCTCTCTAATTACCAGATTGAATGATTGAAATTTTTAGGGCAATTAAATTCAAGCCTTTCTTTTTCAATCCTTATTCTCCCCCCCTTCTCTCCCTCCCCTCTCCAGTCTGGAGCCTTTCTATAATTTGGAGGCAGTTGCAGAAGCAAGCAGACCTTTAAAGCCAAGATCTATGTCTCCCTTAATTCCTCTGTGGATTTTTTTCACAGACTGAGCAGGGAGGGTTCTGGTCTCCCAGGACATGAGCACTGCAAACATACAGCATTCTGTGGGTTTTATCCCCAATGTGTGGTGCCATCCAAAAACAGCTTGGAAGGATCCATTTAATACTGAAATTCTGTGGAAAGATAAAGATCAATGCAGAAAATATGSGGGCTATTGGAAAATGCCTGCAGATCAAGCTATGAGAGTAAGGAGCAAATTGATGATAATAATGATGATTGATGGCATGGTAGAGAAGAGAAAATAAAATTCCCAAACAGCACAAAGGTCTGTTWACAGAGCTGCTGGGACTAAACCATGAAATGGCTGGGTGAAAAGACAAAAATTCCTACAAGAAAAGGCACAAAATTCACAGGATGGAATCCAGTGAACTCAGTGACAAAGCTGCTGCTCATTTGTCTGTGCTGTTGGGATTAGAGCACCGTTCCTGCAGATTGAGTGACCATATTCTCACATCTGGGTTTGGGATTTCAGTGGGATTATTCCTCCCTAAAAGTTAAGTGGATGATTAACAGTTTTGATGAATCAGGATCTAACCCCGTGAGCGTGATACATCTTCATCACAATGAACCCTTGAAACAGTGCAAGATTTTCCTCAGAAATCATTCTGAGTTCTCCAGCTTTCCAGACCCAGCCTAGGACACAAACCTGGAGCTGCTCTCCAGCAGGTGTTTGCAGRCTGAGGGATTCATTTTCATGCTCTGTTACACTGGGGATTGGTGTAATGTCACCAAGTCAGAACGATGAGCACCAGGCTGACTTCCAGTGTGCATCCACAGCCACGTCACAGAAGCCAGATGAGCTGTTTAATGCCTGTTTATYTCTTCATTATCCCTGCAGGTGTTTGAGGTGCCCCACACCAGCCAAAGCAGCCCTTGCCCTGATGAGCACACAGTCAGATCTGAGATTAAACGTGACAGCCCTGCAAGGGGCTGGACCTGGAGAAAGAGCAAGGCCCTTGTTCATCCAGAAACTGAAACGCACGTCTGCTTTAAAGTTCAGTTAATTGGTGAAGCACTACAGTGAATCAAGGTCGGGCTGACTGATGGAGACAAGAATTTCAGCTGCAGGTTCCCAAAAAACCTCCTGTTGCTGCTGTGTTCAATGCTCTGATGGTCCTGAGTGGATGCTCTGAGACACAGATCAGCCCTTTAGGAGGAACCGTGATTTCATGCYGGTGGAACTGTGCAATTTCATCCCGGTTAATGTTTTGGCCCCCTGCAGTAATTCCAGYGGGATGGAATGTGTGTCAGTGTCCGTGAGCATTCCCTGGGAGACACAGCCCCTGTRTCCTCCTGCCCCCACTGCCACAGGCATCACCCCGATCTCTTTTTCATGCTTTGAAGCCCAYGACTCCCCACCACTTTGCAATTTTTTGGGACACTGAGTCCACTCCTGAAATTCAGGCACGTTTRYAGACCMAGGGCAGAGAGACYYGACCTGAGTCCCYTCRTTTCYACCTGCASAGWGSTGCTTTTCCACCTCCCAGGTGCAGATGCACCTCTGCAGAGCCTCAGATGTTTCTCTGCAGCTCTGAACGTCTGTGCCGGGCTCTGGAGCCACGGCCAGGATTTATTGCTGCTTTCCTCAAGGAGCGTGTTTCCCTTCCTGCTCTTTCAGGATGTCATGTCCACTTCAAATCTCCCATTTTTTWAAAAATATGGACTTTAAAAAGTCCATTATTTAGCAGTGCATGGGAAAACCTCTTCAGCTGGAGCTGCGCAATCGTGTCCCAGCTGCCTCCTCTGCTTATCTGCTGCATTATTTCTGTGAAAGCAAAAGCTGTGCGTGGAACAGATGCTTGGGATGGTACTGGGATCCAGTTACTGCACTTTTCCAACCTTACATCTATTGTCTAAACTTGGAGCAGGCATATTTTTGYTCCCTGGTGCCGCTATATAAAGGGACAGTCGGTGCTGTGTTTCTGGCTGGCGGGTTGGCAGAGCAGGGSTGGCMGCAGCAGCAGCASCAGCACCATGGTAGGTTTGATCCTTCCCCGTGTCTGTTCATCTCTGTATTTCCTCCTGAGCCTAAAGAGTCCCAACAGGGCAGGGATGRTCACTCTGCATCCCAAATCTCAGCTCAATGTCACATCCAGARTGCAGGAATGCCCCACAGAGCGAGCTGTGGGCTTTTAATGAATGGGGAAGGCAGAGGATGCAGATGGATGTGCTGAAGGGAAGAATTTGTGCATCTCTGCCCCAAGCCTGGCACAGCTGCTGTGAGATGGAATTGAGGTCTGCTGTGGTGTGATGGGCACTGAGGGACAGGGACAGGTCTGGAATTGGGACTGTGCTGCTCTTGTGGCTGTGGGGAGAAGGAGGAAGCGCTGCAGCAATTTCTGTGCCCTGCCTTTGCCCTGCTTGCTGATGGTTTCAGCTCTGGGGCTCCAACAGCCCCCTCACCTGATGTGATCCCACGGAGCAAAGAGGAGCAGATTGGGCAGGTCTTTGTCTCCTGCAAAGTCAGAGGAATGACTACAACAGCATTAGGAAAAGGATTAGCAGATGATTTTCTCTTTGCTTGTTTTGCGCCTTCTTGCAGGTCCTTTTCAGGCTGAGAGCCCAAAATTCTGCCCTGTGGCTCCTGGGGCWGTGGAATATTTGATTGTGCAGAGCACCAGGGAGGCAGTTGTGTCTGAAAAGCTTTCTCCAAGCTTAGTTCAAACTTGATCCCGTGTAAGCAGGTGATGAATGCGATCCACGTGCTGCTCTGAGCAGGGCAAAACCACATCCAGTGGCATTTCTGACACCCACGCACAAAGCAGGTTCCAGTTTCAGCCAGTACAAACCAGTGGCAGGGGTTTCACACTCACCAGCATTTCAGGAGGGAGGAATGCCTTGTGCTGATTGTGCCCCTTCAGCTGTGGATTTACAGGTTTCCCTTTGATCAGCCTCACTGAAGTCTGAGCCAGCCCTTTTGTGGGTTGGGGGGTGAGTGCTGGTTCTTAGCTTTTCTTTTTCCCCTCTTTTTTTTTTTTTTTTCCTCAAAATTTCATTTACCAGGTGTTTTTCCCTGCCTGTTTAGTTCAATGACACACCAACACTCGCTGATGTTTGAAGATATTCCAGGACGTTCTGTGATGAAATGCTTAAGTCAGGAGACGTGAAAATATAGTGAGAGACTCGTCTGTCTCCTGGCTCCCAGCTCGACTGACGATCCTCTGTGGTGGTTCTGCTCATTGTGCCTTTTGTTTTGGGGAAAATCTCTTCTGAGATACCTTACTGCACAGGGACACATGAAACAGATTTAAAATGGAAAGAAAAAAAAAATAGCCTTAATGAAAGAAAGCTGAAGAATATCTTTACATAAGGAAGTGATCATTTTTTATTAATCAGAGGGAAATGTATATGTAATTATGCTAGATGAACTCTGTGGGGAGGTTTTTTTTTCCTCTCTTTATGATGTCTTAAGGGATTTATAAATATTACAGAGGTTTTATAGCATCATAATATTTCAGATGTGCAGTAAAGCTACTTTCAAAGGATTAGTGCAGACAAAGCAGCATAGTAAAAAATAATTACAAGTCAGCCAGTGCTACTAGGCTCTGACATCCAGGGCTGATGAGAGTGAGAGAGGCAGGGTTCAGGGAGATAATTTTTCTAACAAGAGCAGACCACACAAGCGCTRTGGAATGGAGTTCTGAGAACTGTCTACACTCTCGGTTTATTCCAGGGAATTTCAGACAGGCTGGGCCTGTGATGTCTCCTGCGTGCTCTGTGCTGCTGGGGAGAAGGAAGGGCAGAGGCACAAAGAGGGCCAGGGAAGCCTTTTCCTTGCTCCCCAGACATTGCCATGTTTGTTCAGTCCGAGTGACACCTGGCAGCACGGTCTGTGTGCTGAGGGGAGCTGTGTAGCCAAAAACAGCCCAAACTCGGCTCCAGAGAGCTCTGTGGGCTGGGATGGGCCACCTTCACCAAGCCAGGCACAGCCCATGGTGTGTCCAGCTGTGTGTCCGTGTCTGTGTCCATGTGTGTGTCCACATATGTGTGTGTGTGTGTCTGTGTCCATGTGTGTGTCCCTGTGTGTGTGCAACCGTGTATATATCCAGATGTGTCCAGGTGTATATCCAGATGTATCCAAATTTGCCCAGGTGTGTCCAGGTGTGTCTGTGTGCATATTCAGATGTGCCCAGGTGTGTTCGGGTGTGTCCAGGTGTGCCCAGGTATGTCCAGGTGTGTCCGTGTGTGTGTCCGTGTGTGTATGTCCAGGGGTATCTGGGTGTATCCAGAGGTGTCCAGGTGTGCCCAGGTGTGCCCAAGTGTGTCTGTGTGTGTATCCAGATGTGTCCAGGTGTATCCAGTTGTGCTCAAGTGTGTATCCAGGTGTGTCCAGGTGTATCTGGGTGTTTCCAGTGGTGTCCAGGTGTGTATCCAGATATGTCCAGGTGTGCCCAGGTGTTTCTGTGTGTTCCTGTGTGTGTGTCCAGGTGTATCTGGGTATATCCAGAGGTGTCCAGGTGTATACAGTTGTGCCCAGGTGTGTATCCAGKTGTGCCCAGGTGTGTRTCCAGGTGTGTCCAGGTGTATCTGGGTGWATCCAGAGGTGCCCAGATGTGTATCCAGRTGTGYCCAGGTGTGTCCCYGAGTGTGCCCCAGGCACTGCCCATCCCTTACCATGCAGGATCAGGGATCTCTGGGGTGGCAACAGCAGCAGCTGAATTTTGGGTCCTGGAGCAGGAGGAGCCCTGGGCTGGAGGGGCTGCAGGRGCTCCACTCTGGGGTCACTTTGGGGGGTAACACCCTCCCTCTGAGCATCTGCAGGGGAAGGAAAGGGCTGGGATTGCAGTGGGGTTTTCTGTGGGGTGGAGAATGCTTTAGTGTTCAGGAGTGTGGAGCAGGAGGCTGTGACTGCAATTTTTCTGTGGTTTCCTGTGGGGTGGAGAATACTTTAGTGCCCAGGAGGCTGTGACTGCAGGGGGGTTTTCTGTGGGGCAGAGAATGCTTTGGTGTCCAGGAGTGTGGAGCATGAGGCTGKGRYTGCAGTGGGGTTTTCTGTGGAGTAGGGAGTGCTTTGGTGTCCAGGAGGCTGTGACTCCAATGGGGTATTCTGTGGGATGGAGAGTGCTTTAGTGTCCGTGAGTGTGGAGCAGCCCAACAGATTTTTGTATTTACCAGATCAAGGTGTGTCTGTGTGGGTGTGGGACTCACACACRGAGAGAGGGTGAGCAGGGAGGGATCTGTTTGTGACTGTGATAAAAAATCTTCCGTTTCTCGGCGCTGATAACATGGGGTTGGTTTGAGGGATCTGAGGCTGCTGCCCGTTTGAAATGCAAATCGTGCCCCTGGAGCAGGTTGTGTTTCTTGCTCCTCCAAGGCATGTGCTGGGGTTGGCCTTGTGCTGCTCACCTGCCACGGAAAGAACCTAAACAACACCAAAAAACAGTGATTTGTCCATAGCTGGGATGTTTGGTGCAGATGCAGTGCAAATTGTCTCAGCAGAGATAACTTGTGAGACAAAAATCAACAAATATCCTGTCCGTGATGCAGCASTCCTTTGTCCAGGCCTGAGATGCAATTTCTGATTCAGAAGCTGAGTTTGATGATAACAAAAATCCAAAGACAGGAAATGTCAGCACTGAGATCCCAGAGTGGATGGAAAACAAGGAGAGAGCGTGATGGATGAAAAAGAAATGGTGACTGAGAGTTACCATCATCTAGGGGATCACAGCAGGATGAGCAAAATGATGGGTGGGCCTGTCTGTTCTGGAGCTGCAGAGGAAGAAACACAAAATGTGAAAAAGCTCAAAAACCTGGTGGTGTTTTGTGTTTACCTTGTCCTGGAGTGAATAAACAGTTCAGGGTAGGAAACAGCAGAATCTGGCCCTTAACAGAGTCACTGCTCATCCACTGGGGCTGTCTCTGGCAGAAAAATCTGAAGACACAATTAATGGTGGAGTGGGAAGGGTTTGTGTGTGAGGGTGTTTGACTTTGGCCTTCAGGAACATCGCACCCTGTCAGTCCCTGTTTAATGTTCTGAGGGGCTTAGAGCATGGAGCAAACGAGGGAGTGACCAAAACAAATCAACCAAAACAAATGAACCGAACCGAACCAAACCAACCATACCAACCTGAACCAGACCAAACCAGACAAACCAAACCAAACCAAACCAAACCAAACCAAACCAACCAAATCAAACTAAACCAAACCAACCAAATCAAACTAAACCAAATCAAACCAAACTGAACTGAACTGAACCAAACAAAACCAACCAAACCAGACCAAACCAAACCAATCAAAACAACCAACCAAACTGAACCAGACCAAACCAGACAAATCAAACCAAACCAGACCAAACCAACCAAATTGAACTGAACTAAACCCACCAAACCAAACCAAACCAAACCAAACCAAACCAAACCAAACCAAACCAAACTAAACCGAACGGAACCGAACAAAACCAGACCAACCAAACCAACCAAACCAAACCAAACCAAACCAAACCAAACCAAACCAAACCAAACCAAACTAAACCGAACAGAACCAAACCAAACCAATCAAACCAACAAACAGACCAACCAAACCAACCGAACCAAACCAAACCAAACCAAACCAAATCAAACCAAACCAAGCCAAACCAAACTGAACCAAACCAAACCAAACCAAACCGAACAGAACCAAACCAAACCAATCAAACCAACAAACAGACCAACCGAACCAAACCGAACCAAACCGAACCAAACCGAACCAAACCAAACCAAACCAAACCAAACCAAACCAAACCAAACCAAACCAAACCAAACCAAACAAACCGAACCAAACCAAACCAAACCAAACCAAATCTGTGGCTGCCCATCTCTCCTGGCTGCTGTGGAGACATCACTGCCCTACAGGAAATGCCAGGTAAAGGTTGGTTATTCCCTGCTTCCTGAAGGGTGCAAGTGCGCCCCTGAGGGAGCTGTGACTTTTTTCAGGCTGCAGAAATTTGCTTGGTTTTTCCGTATTTTTCTGGGCTGTCTGCAAAATGCACTGAGGGGTGGAGATGATAAAGCTCTGCCATAATCCAGTGTCCTGGATCTGCTCTAGCACCAGCCTTTGATGAATTTATCAGGGCTGGAGTAAGAAYGARGCATTTTCATCTCCTTYCTCCTCTGTATGTAGAGACATAAAYGGATTCCCCRYCCCCTTTTCTTCTAGGTCACCCTGAAATCAGATTTCTCCCCTCAGATTCACTTGAATGTAGCAGCAGCACAGACAAAAATGAATCCACATCTTCACATCCAGAGAGGCAGAGGCCAGCCCCGTCTCTGCCTGCTGTGTCCCTGCACACCCTCGTCCTTCCAGGCTCCCCGACACACCCAGAGAGGGGAAACAGAGAACCTCAGCGAGGGAAACTCAGCTCAAAGCCTGGTGCCACAGAGTTTWCTTGGGACCAGATTTTGGTGTGGCTTCATTCCTTCATCTCAAGCTTCTAAAACAAACCAAATCCAACCAAACAAAACAACCAAAAAAAAAACCCACAAAAAAAACCCCCAAAAACCCCTTTAAAATCCAGGCTAATTGAAAGAGTGCTAATACTGCTAAGACAAATGAGTGATACGCGACAAGCCTGCGGTTTCTCCTCTAAAGTGAAGTGTTGTTTTCTTCACAATGGGATGATTAATACACTCAGGCAGGAATATTAATAGGCTTGTTCAGTTGTTGCAACATTCTTCCCACTGCTGTGCCATTGAGGCCTCGGAATCTGAGCCCGGGGGACCCTGAGCTCTTCAGTCTCTCATCTGGCACGTTTTGTGTGTCAGTCTCACAGCACATGTTGCAACGAGTGCTGCTCCATCTTCGCAAAGTGCAGCCTGGCACACTTCGGTTCCAAGGGTGGGGAAATCAAGGCAGGCAGAAGGGATGTGTCAGCCATCCCCTCGCTCCTCTGTGGGTCACCCACTAAATCCTTGATAGTTTGGAAGCCCCATGTTTGCTCAGTTCTGTGATGCTCCTTTTAATGTGCCATTCTTTCAGGGAGATTCTGGGGAGTCAGAATCCTGATTGCGTTCATTACAAAATCCCGGAGCGTTTGGAATTGTCAGACAGCAGCACAGAACCATTCTGTTCTCAGGGTTACTTTTTTCTGTAACACAGACCTATTTCTGTTCTCTTAGAGCTGCCTTTTAGTTCCAGTTACCCCAGAAAGACAATGTGCTCYGTTCTGTTCCTGCTCCACCTACCTCACTCTCAGCCTTCCCACTCACAGTCCCTGCCTGCCCACCCCTTATGCAAAAACTGGGGTGCAGTTTCTTTCTGTGATGGTAACTTTCCTGGCTTTTTAGGAAAAAAAAAAAAAAAAAGCAATCCCAGTTCTGGGAACTGATAACCCAAGATGCTCTGTATGTTGGATGCTGAAAGGCTCAGTTTGAACCTGGTGATGGGAGGCCAACCCCACCCAGCAGCTGTTCATGGGCCCCTGTGAAATGTGCTGGTGGTCTCAGCCCCTTCCCRCACGTGAACAGGTCACAAATGGGATCCCTACCCAGACCTTCAGCAGGAAAACTGAAAAGTGATYGAGCAACACAGGCACTGATCTCCTCTGCCATCCCTGGAGATGACAAACCAGAGGGTAAAGGGGAACAAATGTATTAGGATKAATTTCTGTCAGTATTTCTTCAAGACTGGAAATAGATGACCTTCTCCCAGCCCAGGCCATTCAAGGATTCTCTGATACTGCAGTAATTGTTAATTATTCCCCGTATAATYGGTTTTCAATCTTCTTTGTTTTGAAATGTGCTTCACTAATGCAAAGAAGCTTTTTGGGTGTTTGGTCTGTTTCTAACAAATATTGAGCTGCAGCCTTTGGGTTTATCTGATCCTTCCTTACAGCTACAGCCCTTGCTTGAAGAGAACCCATAAACTTTGGAACCATGCAGGAATTGCCAGTGGTGGGCATTTAGCAGAGCTGGACCCCGCTGCTCTTGCTTGTGGTGATTGCTTAAAAATTGCAGATGGTTTGCCAGCACGGGGAATATTTATCAGGCTGAGCAKGGCTGCTGTGCTTGGCCACAGCTGAACAGACCATGAGGGGGGCACAGCCTGGTTTGTCTCCAGGAAGAGCAGCTCCAGGAGCATGGCAGGAGCAGGAACAGCTCCAGGAGCAGCTCCAGGATCCCATCAGGAGCAGCAGCAGCTCCAGGAGCAGCTCCAGGATCCCATCAGGAGCAGGAGCAGCTCCACTGCCCTGTCCGAGCCTGCCACAGCCACAGCCCTGTGGTCAGTGTCCCCCCCCCAGGGCTGGCCAGGCTCTCCTCTGGGTCACATCTGCTTCCCCTTTACCCCCAGGAACAAATACATGTAAATATGTGGGATTGTCTTGGATATTTCCATTCGATCTGCAAGTGTTGAAAGCCTCCACCGGGCACTTCACGTTATGTGGAAGGTTGCCCATTACTGCTCAAAATAACACTTATTTCATGTGGAGGAGGAGGAGGAGGGAATCTGTTTATTCCAAAATCAATATTTCTACATTCATTAAACATTCCACTTATTAACTTCTTTTTTCCATGCCTGTGGTGGCATTCTACCCTTGTTTTCATCCTCGCCTCAAGTACATTTTTCACTTAATTTCCATTCCTGTTTCCAGATTTTAGCTCTTTGAATTAGCTGATAGGAGCTTGACAGGTCTGGAGTGTGGGTATGTGGGAGAATGTCTAACATTGCCCTAATTTCCCCCCTTCCATATCCTGGGATCTAAACCAGGGTGGCTGAGTGCAGAAATCTGCCTGGCAAATTAAATTGATCAGACAATGTGTGCTTCAAACAGAGTCAAGTGGGAATATTTCCTTGAGCTGCTCTGCTCCTCAGGATATTTGAAATCAGTATTGAATTTGAACTTTCRCAGGCTTTTTTATTTTGATGAAAGGAGACAGTAGAAGTTGCCTTCTGTTTCGTGCAGAATAGCCCAAACTAAGTAAGCCTAATTTTCTGTGACACRAGAACCAGGTGGGACTATGATAATGAAGTTTAAAAGTAAAAATGATAAAGAAAAAAGTAATCTGTCTGGAAGGGAACTCAAAAGGCGATGCAGCTCATTATCCTGCCCAAGTAAGGATAAGACTGTGGTTTAAAACACTTCTGTAATCCTTTGGAATCGCAGATTTTATTCTTTACTGCAGAACAAGAGCTGTATTGTCTTAGGCAAGCTGGCTGKGCCCTTATTCAAAGGTATTTAATGAAGTTCTAGTTCTGACTGATTTTTAGTGAGCGTTAGATTCTCAGATATCATTGTAGCCCTTCCCCARTCTTCCTCTGCCTCAGCCTCGAGACTTGAGAGCGGTGATAAAAGCAGTCCTGCCCTTTCATTTAAGATGAATATCTCCAATATTAAAATAAACACGGTCTGGTAAGGAGCTGCAGTGCCATGGGTTGGTGCAGGAACCCAGAACTCCAAGTGTGGAAGGTGCTGCTGCTTGGGGAGAATTCATCTATCCAGACAGAGCCCATTTCTAAACATTTTGGTGTGATTAGAACTGATAAACTTCCCTTTATATTCCTGAGCTCAGTCCTCGTACAGGACCCTGTTTGGGGTCTGGCTGCCAGTCCCAGCATGGGAATGGGAAAGAGGAGCCCTTGTAGGAACTTACCTGAATTCTGCAATTCCTTGGGTACAGCAGGTTGGGAATTCCAGCTCCTATCCTCAAGTGACACTATCCCACCCCAAGGGATCCCTCTTCTCCTGAGCTCTGCGGAGCCAGTGGGGAAGGGGAGAGATCCCTGTGTGAACTGGTCTGGGATCCATGGAGGATCCCTGTGTGAACTGGTCTGAGATCCATGGAGGATCCCTGTGTGAACTGGTCTGAGATCCATGGAGGATCCCTGTGTGAACTGGTCTGGGATCCATGGAGGATCCCTGTGTGAACTTGTCTGGGATCCATGGAGGATCCCTGTGTGAACTGGTCTGGGATCCATGGAGGATCCCTGTGTGAACTGGTCTGGGATCCATGGAGGCAAAATCGACCCTGCCCGAGGAACAGGCAGCTCCTGGGGGGAGCCAGCAGTGCACCAGGCAGGGTGTTGGGTCACACTTTGGGTCCCTCACCTTTTTGAATGCAGCACAGTAATGAGCTGTCCTCATTTATCTGAGCTGCCAGGTTCCAGGACATGGCAGGGAGTGGCAAAGAGCCTCAGTGACAGCTTCATCTGGTAATAAGGCAGAAATTTTTATCCCATGTATAAAAAAAATTACATATATTCAATCCTATATATATATCTAAATCTATCTCTTTATACATATATATAAATAAGATTGAATTCAAAACCTTGTAATAACAAAGCCCAATCCTCTTGTCTTATTTGCCTGTGTATTTTTCACCTTCTGYTGAAGATGTAATTTGTTTCCATGGGTGCTTAACAGACAAAGGAACATGTATTTGATCTTCTTATTTGTATTKCAGGCTCCCAAAAAGGCAAAGAAGAAGATAGACGGTGGCTCCAATGTTTTCTCTATGTTTGAACAAACCCAGATCCAGGAGTTCAAAGAGGTTGGGCACTGTTCTGCTGTTCTCTACAGTCTCCTGTTATTGCTAATGAATAACATAGGTTTTGTTTGTAATCCTTTTTCAATTCTCCATCTGCTTGAACAGAACACACAGTTGTTTTCTGAATCATCCCTGTGGTTTTGGCTGGTAGATAATTTTCCTTGTGTGTTTGTTTGTTCTTTCTTCCATTCTTCTTTCCTTACTTCCCTCCCTCACTCCCCTGCCTCAAGCTCTAGACTCATTTAAAAATCATTCAATCCCTCACCCTAAAATAAAGGATAGGAATAATCTCACCCACTTCAGCCCCTGATTCAGGAAAACACTTGAGCACATGTTTAAAGTTTAAGTGATATTTTAAATAAGAATAGTCTTATGTGCTCAAGTATTGTCCTAAACAGAGTTACCAGCTTGAACCAGGGYTTTCATGTGTGGTCAGTTCCACAACAGCAACAGAAAATATCCTTCTGTGCCCTTCTGCTGCTGCCCACAAACTGGAAATGAAAATGCCAAGRGGCCCTCAGCTGACTTTCTCCCCAAATGCCAATAAAACAAGAGAACATGCTGAGATGAACCCAGCATCCTTTAGCTCCCAAGGGATTTGGTGTTCTGTGCACTGCAGGTTCTTTGATCACTTACCTGTGAGGAGGAAAATTTGATGGGGTGTCCTAAAACTGGAGCATATTAAAGACAGATTATCTGTCTGATGAGTTGTTTCTTTTTTTTTTTTTTTTTTTTTTTTTTTTTTTTTTTTTTTTTTTTTTTTTTTTTTTTTTTTTTTTTTTTTGGTGACATTCTAGAATGTCCATGAGGCCATCACATTCTGCGCTGGTTTGTCACATTAAATTACTGATTTTTTCCCCCATTTTTTCTAACTCTCCAAAGCAATTTCCACTGTGATAAATGTCTATTGTTTCATTTCGTACATGTGGCTTTCAAGTTTGCTTTCCTTGAGGATTCCCACCAGGAAAGCTCAGAGGTGGATGAGACTAAACCCATGGCAAGGACTGGGAATATGACCCAGCTGAATTAATTGGAATCACTAATCATTACCCCACAATCCGTGGGAACTTGCTGGACTCTCCCAAACCATGTTTGACTTCTTCTACCTCTTCTCCATGTCCTAGGAATCTCCATCTCCAATTTTCTCTCTGTTTGGAGATGGACCAACAAAAAGAAGATCAGGACAGAATGCCATTATTTKATCTTCTCTAAATCAGATAATGCTGGGAGCATTTCTAGGAGGATGGTGGCAGAATAATGGCAAAAGCATTAGGCAGTGGAGTGGTGGAATGAAACCCAAAACCATGTTGTGTCTAAGAGCTGCACATTTGGGACAAGTATTTCTGAAAAGCTGGTTTGCATTAGAACATTTTTATCTCGAGATTTCAACCAGCTCACCAACAAATGTTTGAACACTGCTGTTATTTGAAGTTCACCCATTCCAATGCCTGATGCTCCTCCTGTCTTCTCTGAGCTGCCTGGGTTTGGCTTTATCTTCATATTTTATTTCTCTTTTGCTTCCAAATTGTAGGGAAGTGAGGGGAAGGCATCTCTAAAGAGCTGAGCTTCATTTTGTAAGGGGATGGTTTGGAAGGTAAATGTAGGATTGTGAATGTGGTGCTGCAAGGAACCTCGTGAGCAAACTGGACTTTGAGCAGTGGGGTTTTGTGAGAAACTGGAGGTGAAAATGCCTGGAGATATGTGGAGTGACTTCTTCATGGGAAGAAGTGAACCCTAAAGGGCAGCAGACTCAAACTCTGCAGGTTACTCAGCTCTCAGGAGAGAGAGAAAGAATAATTCCTGTCTGAAGAAAGAATAATTCCTGGCCATTGTGAAGATAAACTCCCACACTGATGTGCCTGTCAGACAAAAAAACAGCTTCAGAGCCATGCCAGSATCAGCTGATATTCCCCACAGCATGGCCAGGGGAATTTCAGGTCATTAAAAGCCTTCCAAATCAATGAAAGATTCTAAGTGTGATGATAGTGAAGATGTGGATATACAAATAGGTAAACAGAGAGATGAGCAGTTACCTGGCTCAGTAAACAATGGTGAGAGCACATTAAATTTCTGTTGGCTGAAAATTAAAAAAATAAAGAAAAACAACCCTGTTTTTTTCTGGGGTTTTTTTTTTCCATCAAAGTTAAATTTTGCCTGACAAGAGTATTTCAGGTCAGCACATCAGTGTCAGTCAGAGCACACAGTACAATCTCAGGGATGCAGTGTATTGGAAAGGGGATAAAAAACTTTGAATAAATAATCTTATGGACCCTACATTTCTCTGTACTTTTCAAAGTTCAGCTATCTCTGTGTGATGGATCATTCTAAAGCCCAGGAGRAATCGACTCCAGGTTGATAGCACAGAGATATCCACAGAAATGAAATGTTTTACAGAACATGAGAGCTCCCAAAGAGTGAGGTATGGGGAAAGTATAAACACAACCATGGACTAAATCTGCCCTGACTAAAGCCTCCCTAAATCAAACTTTTATGGGTTAAGGGCTGAGTGGCTGGAGCTGCCAGCCTTGGCTTCAGCCCAGTGCACGCTGCACTGAGCATTAATTTAGTCAGRAGAAGTTTGGGTGGGTTTAATTAAGCCCCTTGCCAAGGCACAGCAACGTGTTGGAAGTGAGGGAAGCGCGATGATGTGGAGGAATCAAAGGAAGTTAAATRTTCCTTTTTACAGCATGAATGTCATCCCCCACGGGCTGGTGTGACTGCAGCACTGCCCTGTGCAATGGAAATGGCAATCCATGTTCTTTTTCCTTCTCACAGGCTTTTACCATCATGGATCAGAACAGGGATGGCTTTATTGACAAGGCAGACTTGAGAGACACGTTTGCTGCGCTGGGTAAACTCCTAATTCAATATTTGAGAGATGGGCTGTCTCCACTTCCAGCACAGAAGGAAGGCTGCAGGGGGAAGAAATGAGATCCCTGGGAGGGCAAAGCAAACCTTTCAGTTTGACCTCCTCCCTGTGGTCGCTGGGATCTCGCTGCAGAGCTCCAGCTGGAAATTCTCCTGGGCAGCCTCCTTGGGAAGGGAAACAAAGGTCTGATCCCTCCCCTACAACTGTTTCAGAGCGAGCCCACCCAGGCAGGGGGCCATGCCAGGCATTTCTGATTTGCCTCTGAGCCCAGGCTTCCCAGGCTGCACCTTTTTCATCTGGGAGCCGTGGAATATCCACGGATTAGCCCTGCTGCCCYTGTGCCCACACGGGCGTAGGAGGGCTTCATGTGAGGTTCTGTGCTGCTGGGGGGTGAAATGGGCATGTCATGAGATTAGGCACTGTCCATTCCATGGCTATCAAAATCCTGATCATATCAAGCAGATTAGAGCAAACCTTCCCAAGGAAAGGAAAAACTCCTGAAAGGTGCTCCTGATCCCAAACCTGGAGTTGTATCCTCGCTGCAGCGTTTGAGGCTTGAGCAGTGATGTAGGCATTTGGGCTTTTGCCATCTGGAGCTTATTAAAAAGAGCTTGATAAGAATCTTTAGTGCTCCCCGGGGTGGAATCAGACGCCAGCAGAGTCAGTGCAAGGAGCAGAAGCTCCCGAACTCTTTATTGTGACAATGAGGTTTGGAAACTTTGGCCTGTAGCTACTGTTACCCTGAAATATTTATTTCCCAAGGCCAAGTCCTGCTCTCTTTCCTGTTGGGTGAAGCCTTTCAGTGCCTGTAAAGTCCATTCAGAGCAAATTAGTGCTCAATTGGAGGAGGGCTGCCAGGGTCTGAATTCTCATCAATAGGGCTGCCCAAGGATGGGGAAGGGATGCCAGTACCAAACTCATCCACCTGCCCTCTGCTCAGAGAGCTGTCTCAATATCTAGGAGGACAAAGACTGGGACCTTGGATTTGCTTCAGTCACTTTGATCTCAACATCAATATCACTGGGGCCCATATTTCACCTGAGGTTAAAAAAAAAAACCCAACCCAAAAAGCAGTTTATTTGGAAGTGCCCCTTCTCCTGTCCACTGCTSGCCGTGTCTGTATTATTTATCCTTCTCTCCCCTTCAGTCACCCTTTGATCTCAGAGCCAGCTCTGCCAATTTCTTTCTCACTGGGGTATTTYGGGAGCTGTGTTCTACCATGTTATTAGCAAAGTTGCACAGAGCCCTGAGCTCCCCAGTGGGAGGAGATGAATGGGAATCGTTTTTTGAAACACAATTTGTGATTTATTATGAAAAATGATCTCTGCTGCAGGTCGTCTGAATGTCAAGAATGAAGAGCTCGAAGACATGGTGAAGGAGGCGCCAGGTCCCATTAACTTCACTGTCTTCCTTACAATGTTTGGGGAAAAGCTGAAAGGTAAGCACCTCTGGGGGATTGGAGAGGTATCTGTCAGAGATCCCCGGCGCTGAAATACCTCAGCACCTTGCAAATTATAATAATGTCTCACKGAACAGTGCTGGGAGGCAAGGAGGGATCTCCAGCTTTGCAGACAGAGACGGAGAATAAAAGGCTGGGGACKGCACAGAGGACAATTCAAAGGTGTGATTTAGCTTACACAAACTAACATGAAAGTGGGGAGCTGAGGTCCACAAAGGGATGAAATCTCAGCASCCTGGAGCACAGTTATTCACCAGCAGAAGGCTCCTGGGCTGAACTCATGCTGATGCTTTACTCACAGCACTCCCAGTGTCAGCTGGTTTTAAACATTTCTAAAAAAAACTCACACTCTTTGTGGTCCTTTGGGTGCAAATCATGGGCTTCCCTCATTTTCTGGCTCAGCCTTGGAGTCACTCGAGGTCAACAGTGATTTTGCCATTAGGTGAAGACTTCACTGAACAGCCCTTAATGGAGTGGATAAATTGAAATAATTAAATTTCAGTGGATTTGCAAAAGAGAGAGGTATTTCACCCATCGCCACAGAACATACAGGGAACACTGTGGGAAGTTCAGGAAAGGTGGGARGTAGATTTGCTGTGAGTTGGTAATTCAGTCATCTCTTCTCCATTTCATGGCTGGAAACTGCAAGAGRGGGGGTGTGAGGCCAAGGTGGAACTCCACTCATCTTCCTACAGGCTTGAGAGGAAGGTGAAAGCCTTGACCTTCAAAGCAGGGCTGGCCTTAGCCAAGCACATTCCAGAAGTTTGTTAAAATAACTAATGAACAGAAAAATGGAAAAATCAGATCATATCTTCTTGAAAACATTTATTGTTTTGCTGCTGAACTCCAGCAATTCCAGTGAATGAAAGAGAAAATAGAGARCTCTGAAAGAAAGGATTYGTGTGGTTGGTCCTGGAAGAGAAACACCCTGGCTAAGGAGGGCAGGAAGCCTGGGAAGCCCCAGAGGTGATGGGGAAGGCTGACAGAGGAGGGGATTTGAGTCCCCAGACATCAATCCATGTGTGGTACCTCCACCATGACATTCCAGGTGTTTTCTGGCAGTGCCCTCCTCTGTGACCTTCCTCCTGGGATTTGGGGCTGTTTGCTGTGGGGTGCCCCAATGCCCATTCCATTTGTGAGCACGGGAATGAGCTCTTCTTCCTCTCCCCTCTCCCCCCTCAACCCTGAAGCTGGCAAAGCCTCTGGCCCTGCCAATCCCGTGGCCTAAAAGCAGAGCCAGCACAGGAAGGTGGAATGGCAAAGCAGAGCCCTCTTGTCTGCAGGTTTCCTGTTGGCTACTAGCAAAGGAGGAGTTTTTTTTTTTTAAATTTCCATTTGGTGAAGGGAAAATCACAGCTGTGCTTGTCATGCCCTTCTGGTTGGGTTTGTCATGCAAAGGAAGCAGAGCCAAAAGACTGCACATTCCCAATCAAAACTAATTGGGATGAAGAGCCTTTGTAGTGCAATTAGAAAGGGAGAAAGGGCTAGAGGAAGTGGATATGGCAATTTTGCAGCACTCTTTATTAGCTAAGTACCACTCAGAGAATTTGGTGAAAGGTGCTTTCTAAGTAAAATTTGTTGTGCTGTAATTGATTTCTGTCATAAAGGGGAAGCTGGGATTTTCRGGATGAGCTTTAGCTTTGTATGTTGAGATTACGATGCCAGATGAACAGCTAACAAAACTCGGTTTATGTTAATGCCAACCACATGGAGCTGCTTCTACAGGGAGTCAGAATAATACAATTTGTACAGAAAACAGAGATGCCGCACATCAAAGAAACCACTTTATTTACCAGCTAATCAATAAAGAATGCCTGCTGCATTGCTTCTCTTCAAAGCCAAAGTCCGAGGATATGACAGAGTAGAAAATGTAAAACACAGTAAGGAAAAAAAAAATCCCCCCCACGGTGGCGACTAGTTAAAATGCAGCCCTCTCCTCGGAGCTGGGGGATGTTTCTCTTCATGGGACAATCAAAACACTCATTAAACACCAATGCTCTTTGTATTGATCACAGATTCAGGGCAGTTTGAATGCATCGCCTACAGCTTGGCAAAAAAAAAAAAAATATATACATGGTCTGAACATTGTGTGGCAAGGAGGAAGCCATGAAACCCGAGGTTTGTTCGCTATTATATCCACCAGGATCCAGCTAATCCTTGTGAAATCTTCTGAACAAAGCAAACTCTGGAGGCATCAGGAGTGTGTGTAGAGCAGGGAACCTTGGCTGGGTTCTGTTCTGGTTCCACCTCTGCCAAACTTGGGAACAAACTTTGAATCTGCAATCCTTTGTGCTGTATCCTTCTCTAATCACTCTCCCAGCATACCAAATAGCTTCATTTTGCCCGTGGAATCGGTTCATCTGCTTGTAAATTTGGTTTCCTGCAGTTGCAAAGATTTGTGCTTTGTACAGTACAGCAGTATTTTGAAATATTGGGGAATAGTCAGGGGTAGAGTACACAGTGTATTCTTTGGTGTGGGTTGAAAATGAGTGTACACAGAATCTGCAGGATTTCAGAACAGTCCCAGCCCCAGCCAAAATTAAGCACTGTGAAAACCAGTCCCTGACATGGATCTTTTCCAGTATAAGGAGATGGGGTAGATAATGGAAATGCAGAAAAGAATATGATTACAATGATTTTACTGCTGGGAACAGAGAGATGTTAAAGTCATACCAAAAATCTGTGGCCCAACTRAGAGCAGAAGCAAAATCTTGTAGCCACAGCCCAGTGCTTTAARCCATCCTGCTCCTGTGAGTAACACTTAATGAAGAGACAATTAATGGGAAGAGCACAATGGGATAGAAGTGCAGATAGATCACCATCTCCCATTGATCATCCTGTTTCCACTGCATTCCACTGGCATTTGGATTTTGTGATGAGCTCCATTTCCTCCAGCGAGGGAAATAACCTCTTCTCTACATCGCCAAGAACGAGTAACATCAAAAAGTGTTTTCACAAGGAACGTACAGTGCGAGATTAAAGGAAGCCAGYGAGGGAAACAGTTTGTTATATTTTCATTTCTGAAAGCCACTAATCCTCTGGGTACTGATATTGGAGACCAGTTCCTGGAAGTTTTCTCTCCTGCAGACATAGAATAGATATGAGTTATTATTTTTAAGCTTCTGAGCATTGAACTATTCACCTCTATTGTTTATCTGACATGACAAATGCTGCCGACTTAGGGAACCTTTGTCTTCAAGCCCACAATTGCAGAATTCTCCATTTTGCACCGGTTTTCAAGAGAATGCAATTACTTAGCAAGTATTCTGCAGCCAGAGAAATACATCCAGGCTTCTAAATTATATTTCATTAATTTTAGGCACGGATCCAGAAGAAACCATCCTGAACGCTTTTAAGATTTTTGACCCAGAAGGAAAAGGCCGCATAAAGGCAGACTAGTAAGTTTATTTCAAATCCTTTAGAAGAATAACAACAACAATAATGATTATTGCACAGTTTTAAAGAGCTGCTTAAAAGCTGCATTTTTCACAGCATTTTAAGAGGCAGAGAAACATTTAGCTTTGTGAGCCAGAGTTTAAAAGACTGGCCTGTTATAGGGATGTATTTGTATACCAAAAAGAGATGTTATTGTCTTCAGACATTGCAAGAGCCAACGGAAATATAATCACATGTGGGCCATTAGATAGCCTTTTTGTGAAGGTCTGGGTATAAATCGACACATGACTCTTGGTGAATTAACTCCATATGTAAAATTAAAATGAATGTCTGGTGCCTAACTCTCAGTGCTTGACTGAAATGGGAAAGCTTCTCCCCTCTTAAAAAAAAATAGTGATCAATTTAATTAAATCTGAGACATGGTTTTAGTGCAGGACGTTTTCCTTTTTATGTGTTTATCATTTGAGCCTTCTGCTTCTAGAAATAATTTGCTGTAAAATTCCACTAGATACGGTGAGAGCCAACCCAAATAATACTATTAATAATCTGGCAATTATTGTCAATATGGCTATTTTTAAATAAGGAGGCAGAACCTAATTTGTATTCATATCCTGTTGCACCAGAAAAGCAATGTAAAAGGACTTTAAGAGGTAATTGCACAAATGTAAACCCTCCTTCCACTGCCAGAGTGGTGCCAGCAGGACTTGAGGTGAGTGAGATAAATGATATCAAAGCAGGGCAGTGGATGAGGAGGTTGGACCCATGGCTCCAGAGAAGTGTTTTATGTTCCTAGATTCATGCAAATGGTTAAATTTTTCATATGCTGAAATTTTATGGTGAATTTGGGGTCTACGCTTTTACTGCAGCAGCCATTTCAGGTGAGTTTTATAAAGCATGATATGTACAGGAAACCTATTAGGTAACCATGAGTTACAAAATTGTATTTGCATCAATAATTTGCCCTTATGGTATGATAACCTCTGGCCAGAACCCTGTGGAGATTTCCATGACATTATCTGAAATTATTGATGAAATTTTGTTGAAAATATAAATTTCATGTACATTATTTCTTCCCTTTACCAATGTGTTTTTCTATGACAGTACCCCCATGGGTGTGAGAATTTTTGCAATGCACAAAACAGAAGTCAAGAACCTTTTCACAAAGAACTTCTAAATTAATTGAAACCCAAGTGGATGTATCAATCAATCAGAAGAAACAGAGGGTTAAGAGTTATCCTCATTGTTTTGGGGTTAATGTCACCCAAASAGCTTGGGAAGAACAGCCAGGGGATCAAATCAGAGGTGGCTCAAACAATCACAACAAACCCAGCCTGCTGCCAAACAGGGCAGATCACACAGCAGTGAAGTCACAGCCATGAAATAAGAACTTCTGATACTCCCAAACCCATGAAATGTTATATTTCCCACCACTACCTGTAACAGGATCCTGCATACAAAATCTGCAGCCTGCCACCCTCTGTCCAGCTCTGCATTCCTTGGCTGCTGGGAGCCAGCTGGAGTTTGGGGCAAATCAGGAATGCAGTATCACACTCCAAAATGAAGATGAGAGAGAAATATTTTATTTTTCCTTGATGGAAAAGGTCAACCTTGTCCCCACCCCCACTGCACTGCTAACATTAGACAATTGTTTTAGTTCATCACCACAACAGAGCATAATGTTTACTTATTAGACCCGAGGGTAATGTTGATCATTACAGAACAAACCATTAAATCAATTCCGTGGATGTCTTTGAGGTTTAGCTTCTATTCATAAGCTTCCAAAATGTAGACATTTGAAGTTTTGAAATGATTTTTCTGTTGGCTCATGCAGCCGTTTCAATGCCACAGTTAATGCTAATAAATAATATTTCTCCGTATTAAAAAAAAAAAATCCTGGAATATTTCTCTCCAAAACCAGCCACGCTGACCTTTTAATCAGAGCTTCTTTTTATGTTCATGGAGTTAACATCCTTCTGGGGATTTTTATGTCTCTTCCCTCTGCATGTTTTCACCTCTGCTCTGGAAATGACTCACTTGGTCCATGTGAGGGGAGCTGGGATGGAGCCTTCTAACCTTTCCAGAAGCTCCAGGAGTTTGGAACTTCCTTCCAAACCCAGTGACAGACCTTGTTTGTCTGCATCACTGTACCACACATGAAACCCTTCCTCCAGAATGATGTCAAAAAGAGAAAATGCTTTGGGTCCCATTCTCAGCTGCTGCCAGCTGGGAAGTTTTTGGAAAGGTTGGATGGTTCAGCCCCAAAACGCCGCTCACGGGGCAAAGTGAGTCAGGCCAGCACCAACTGTGCCCAMTGCTGAGGACAATTAAAGTTTTCAGGTTTGGGCCAGATGAAAAAGGACTCAGGGGGGTGGAAGATGGGGATGGAAAGGTCCCAGGCGTGCTGGGCTTTGGAGGAGTTTGGCTGAGCAGAGATGATKCCCCCCGTAGCTGTGGAGCTCTGCTCCTTCCTGCTCACCTGCTTCCCTCCAAGACAGCGCTGCAGAAAGAGCAAACCCAGTGGAAAACCCAAAATATCCCAAAGATTTCACAGATCTTTTTTTTAAATTATTTTTTTTTTTAGATCTGTTTTTAAAATACCAGAATGCAACAAGGTGTTTGCAGCTGCAGAAGGAATTGATGTGAGCCAGGACAAGAGATAACATTTAGACACCTAACTCGAGGCAAATGAATTTTTTTTTATTTTTTTTTTTTTTKCCCAGAAGACTGGGTTTGCTTTGGTTTTTGGAGTATTTTTGAGAAGAAAATAGGCTTTCTAAAGAAAGCAAGATGCACAAAGTGCATAATTTCTGGCTTTGGAAATTGTGAGTGTTTGYTTCCCTATAAAATAAATAATGGAAAATGTGCATAGATCCTTTAGTCAGTCCTTCTTCCTTATGCTGTGTGCCAGAGCCTACTGGGCTGTGYATCAGAAGATTATAATTAGATATTTGATCTTTTCCCCTAAATACTTTATGCATGTGAATAGAAGGCACACAGTGTGATCTCTTTTTTAATTCAGGCCTGTTTGCAATGAAGTTTATTTGTGACTTCTGACAAAATTGCTGCAAGTGCTTCCTTCTATTCACCAGGCTCCTTCCTGGATCACACTTCCTAYTTACATTTGCTAATGCTGCTTGCCCCAGTGCATCTATAGCCAATAATCAATTTATGCTGAGGGCAATGATCTCTCTGCCCTTGCACCCACAGATCATTTGAGAATCTGGAAATGAGGTCACATACTAAATGGTCAGAGAGAGAAAAGAGAAAGAGAAATTTGAGACATAGAGATGAAGGAACTTTGCYAACTGAAGAGAATGGTGAACTAATGGAGGAAAAAAAAATATCCAATAGCTTAAGCTCTGTGACTTCAGAGAATTTCCCAAAGCTTGCACAGATATTTTCACACTTGTCCTTGTGGGTTAGATCCTTGATCATTGTCCAGAAGAGTCTTTTTTCAATTTTCTCTTTCTGGGCTTCAAAAAAAGCACTTTATATCAGGAAGAGCTGTAGAAGTGCACATGCCCCTGATAAAAACTGGGATGTGTAGCCTTTTCCAGGGGAAAAAAAAAAACCAACCCTTTTCCAGCTGTGAGTGCCATTTGGGGCTTTGTCACCCAAACTGCACTTCTGTYTGGGGCACTTTTCCCACTCGACCTGTGCAGTGCATGGCAGCAGAAAGGGAGGATTTTCTGCTTTGCCTGAACATCTGCACCCACAGGAGGTGAATTTTGCCCCTCTGGAAGTGTTCCTGTTCAGCCATTGACATATTCTATTGTAAACAGTTATTTTAAAACATTTCCTTCAAAAAGCAGAAAGGGTTTCTTCCAGAAGAGTTGCTGCTCTCACTCTCCCACAACAAATTCTTCAAAAAAAGCAGTCTTTTTTTTTTTTCAAATCTACAAACCAAACCAGATTTCTGTATTTGTCTCAGCTTTTGTTTTTGCACAACAGACTGCTCACCTGTTATCACAGCTTTGCAGTTTGTTTTAYTGCTCCACAATCATRTCTGAYAATGTAGAAATACACTTGGTGGTGACAAAAGGAGACAATGCTGCCTCTTCAATGAATGAAAACTGAGATTAATGTAGGAATTCTKCTACAGGAAGGGGAAATTATTGGTGTTATTGAAGGGATGTTAATGTGAATATAACTGGTGGATGTAACAGCACATGGTGCATGTGCAGCCCTCAGCACATGAGTAACTGAGCTATATAGACGTTTTATCAAAAGGAGTTAAACTTGAAACAGAAATAATCTTCCTGGCTTTTCTGTTCACCTCCAAACTTAGGTAAAAAAAAAATTACATGCTCGACTGCCTCCCCACAAYGGGTTTAAAACAGAGGGTAAATCAGCTGAGAGCCTGCCCCAAAACCATTCCCTGTGATGTGATTGCAGACTGTGTGTGGGATGAGCTCCGTGTTGCAGCGCTGTAACTCCAGATTGGGACAGAGCACCATGAAACACAACAGGTCTGGGGCAGCACCCTGGGAATGGCTGCATGAAAATCCAGGGATTCTCCCAGGATGACTCGGAACAGCRGCTGGAGCTCGCTTTCAAGTCCTCTTTCTCATTTCATGCTCTGTTCCTTTCATCCTCGGATTTTACAGAAAATATTCTCTCTCTTGGTTTTGTCAAGCGGTCCAAACTTTAAACAGCGAGTGGGGAAGCCTGCCATTTTGGGTTGAGATAGGCATACAAAATCGCTGTATTTCAATTAGAGTAATAACCTTAAACAATTTTAAACCTCCATAAAATGTCACAAAAGCGAAATAAGTTGGCAGAGCGAGGCATTGACACTGATGGGTGCCCACAGAAAATCTCTCACAATATCATGTAAGGATTAACAGCTCTAATTTATGCGGTCACACAGATTTTCTTTCATGCGACTTCAGGAGGGATCTTGCCATCTGAATTGTCATGTGCCATYATCACCCTTTAATCAGGTTATTTCGTTTTATTTGAACAGCATCAAAGAAATGCTGATGACACAGGCAGACCGGTTCAGTCAGGAAGAGGTAAGGAACTCCTTTATTCCGAAYGGGAATCCAGCTCCAGCTCCTGTGCTCACTAAGTCCTCACCCCTCTTTAAATGCATGAATTCAGCTGAAATCCGCACTGAGAGAGGGGTGATGCCAGCTCTGGCAATTAGAAACAATTCAAAGCATCCCTTCTGAAGAGCTCCATGGCTAAATCAAAGTCAAATAGATTCTTTGGACTCCCATCCAAGTGCAAGCCTGGTCTATCTCTTGCTGTTCTTCCCTGTGGGGAGCTGGGCAATGGATTTACTGGAGGCCGAGTGGATTTGGGTGGGGACTGTTCTGGTTTCCATTTCTGTGAGTTATTTGGTTTGAAAGCTGAAATGAGGCACTCACTTGGTGGTTTTGGTGAAACTGTGCATGGATTCTGCTGGTTGGGAGGAAATCAGAGGGGCTTTTTTTCAGAAGAAGGGATGGAGTGGAGCTGGTCTGTGGACAGGACAGGCTGGATGCTCTGTTCCAGTCCCAACAGAGACTGGGCTGTACATTTATCAACCAGGGCTTACCTGGATYCCAGGGAGAGCTCTTTTCAGCAGGGAACTTGTGGGGTCCTAGCAGTAATTATTCCATCATTTATTGACCACTTGTGTCCCAACTCCTGTTTCAATTTTACTGAACCCCAGGAAAACCTTTCCRTGATGGTTGAAGGACCAAGGCAGCTGACCTGGGTGGAGAATGAACAGCTGTTCATGTTGCTGTCCCACAGCCCTGTGATATTTCTCTCTTTCTTGGCAGATCAATCAGATGTTTGCTGCTTTCCCTCCAGACGTCTCAGGGAACCTCGACTACAAGAACCTGTGCTACGTTATCACCCAYGGGGAGGAGAAAGACTGAGGGCAGAGAGAGGAGCTGCTCCTGGGGTGATGCCCCAAGTCATTTCATGATGCTCTCATGTGCAAGACAAAGGATGTGAAGCCATGTGGTCATCAGGAGAGAACCAATAAAACACTTGAAATTAGATAAAAGCTGTTTAATTCTCCTGTTCTTATAAAATATCAAAATAACCATTTTGTGAAGGTTTATTCCCCGTATTTTTTTTCCTGTCAGTGGTTTGAAATGGAATTTTCTTGATGAACTGGTACTTTTGTGATTTACTGACAAACCTAATGTTCACCAGATGGTCCATTGGGCACTGCAGTCTTACCTAATCTTGTGTTTTATACATAAGCTCCATGTATTAATTGGGAATTTCTCTAACTTATTGCACCAGGAAGAGCCAACAGAATGATGTTCCATTTCACAGCCCTAGCAATGAAAGTGTAAATAAAACAACCTTTAGCTCCTGGAATATGCAACATACCCTCTCCACCTCAGTGATGTGGCTGGTTTCAGACACCACTTGACTCATTTGCTTTGCTGCAGAAGGGCAGGAATAGTGGAATAGTGGAACCTTGCCTGTTTTTCTCACAGTAAAGTTTACCTAAGTGCACTTAGAAACTAGGAATAAGGAATTTCCCCCTTCAGCAATATCTTTACTCCATGGAGGAGGTTACCCATGAAATGACAATGACACCTAGTCTGTCACCCCCAGCCATAATCCTGGAGTTACAGGTGAGATGTGCCCTTCAAGGATGTGTTTTGCCAAAGATCATCAAATCAAGGGACAAAGAGGAGAATTTGGGAGCTGCAGCCCATGAAAGCAGATTACCTCTTGCTTTTGTAATCCAAGATTGGCCTAGTTTTGAAATGGGCTACAGTTTCTTGTATTTAGACTTCTAGGAACCGGTCATACTGTGCCTGTGTGGAATATTGCATGAACGCTTCCTGCGTGGGAGTCACAGGGATGCTGCAGCCAAAGGAAAACAAGCCTCTGCTGTTTTAACAGCTCATGAAAATGCTTTCCTTGTGCATCAGTGCTGCTGGAGCCACAGACACTGAGAGGAAGCAACAAGCCACTTATTTTCTGTTTCCATCCTCTTAGTCTTTGTAGCTAGAGAACTTGAGGGACACGACCCATTTCAAATGGGAAATTCCATGGAAAAGCTCTAACATCTGCATGACTCAGGGAGGTGATAATTCATCCCTACCTGCATTTTCTGTTGTCCCAGCAAAATCCTGCCCCCCACRCACTTCAATAATGGAGAAAAACTGGAGTGAGAGGCTCTTAGCACACAAAAAGTTCATAAAATGAATCTCCCCCTCATCCCTGTGTGCAGAAGCTGTGTGAATGTTCCTGCACCAGCAATGTTSTAATGTAATAAGTTGATTCCCAATTGCATCTACTGGGAATTAACTCTTTTAAAAATATCAGTGGACACAGCTAGAGGCAAAATTCACTCCTTTCTTGTACAAATCTTGCTGAAGATGTGGGCAATCTTCACATCTTCAGCCTTCAGGACTGYCTTTAGCACTTCTTGGCACCTGATCATGTAACACTTGAAGCAATTCATGGTCACCCAAAGCTGTCCCTCCCAACACAACGAGCAACTTCGCTGGGATTTGGGGACTCAGCAAACTTCCTGCAATGCAAGAATCCCCATGACCTGCCCTTCCACCTCCTGGCTCAGTCACCAGCTGAGCTCTCCAGGACAAGCCCAGTTTTTATCACTGTTCCCCACAGGGGCACTTTTCTCCCCAGAATATTCTTTCCTCACAGGTCCATGACCACTCCCTATGGGATGGGGTTGTAGATTGGTTGTGGGAGGTCATGGAGGTTGAGGATTTTTTGGTGRGCACAGCCCAAAAGATGATTGATGAGCTCCTGCTTTAGGCCCTCCTGCAGACCCAACCGAGTGACAGCAAAGAACAGAACTGCTGGTGGGGGAGGGCTGCAAAAGGGATGCTCCATTTGCCAACTTYGTTTGGAAATTTCCTGAGAGCTGGGTCTGGAAAATGCTCTTGTGTGGCACAAACACATGTACAAAGGGTAATGCTGCCTTGGATAAGCCCCACAAAATCCCATTCCCGACCAGATGAGCGCTGGATGTTCCACTAACACGAGCTCAAGTCACTCAGGCATCAGATGTCACACAGTGCTTATGGGTTTTGTGCTGTTTAAAGATTTCAGAATCAGGCTGAAGGCRAGATGAAAGGCACACAGGCTTACCTTTGGCCTTCAATCCAGATTTACTTTTCCTCATGTAAGCTAATAGGTAAAAACTTTGAGGATAACGTTCTTGAAAGATGAGGCAACATTTTTCCATCAAAGCATGGTTTCTGACAGGTACTTTTGCATCTGTAATTGTTACATGAYTTCTCCTAGGGCAGCTCTGTGACTTCTCAGGTTGGTGGGACCCTGCTTTGAGCAGTTTCGTGTTTTCCCCTTCCCCTGGCTGCACCCACTCCCTCCCTCCAGCATTAGGGCTCGAACATCCACAGCAGGTGCTGACTGAGGAGAAACCTCCTTTCTCCTCCTTTCTCCTTTCTCCTCCTTTCTCCTCCTTTCTCCTCCTTTCTCCTCCTTTCTCCTCCTTTCTCCTTTTTCCTCCTTTCTCCTTTCTCCTCCTTTCTCCTCCTTTCTCCTTTCTCCTCCTTTCTCCTCCTTCCTCCTCCATTCTCCTTTCTCCTCCTTTGTCCTCCTTTCTCCTCCTTTCTTCTCTTTTCTCCTCCTTTCTCCCTACATTTTCTTTCTGGACTTTTTTTGGATATTGCTGAGGTCCCTTCCCCTGCCCTGCTGAAGGCTCCCTGTCCCTTAGGGAGCAGTTGCATCTCCCTGATCCCTGCAGATGGGGAGTGGGTGGAACACGGGATGGGGTTGAGCCAGGCTTTATCCTGAGGACAGATTTGGTTTGGAGCATCACAATTCTGAAGCGAATCCCTCAATTGCCTTTACTTACCTTGAGCAACCTGGGGAGCTTTTTCGGAGGAAACCAAAACCAGAAGCTCTGTTTGGAACTCAGTCCAAGCTCCTGACGGGCCCAAACCAGGGTGCAGCTGTGATGCCCTGCAGCAGCACCAAGCAGGGCTGCACCACCAGGGTTCCCTCAACCACCAGAGACCCTCTGAAGTGGTTCATGGCTGTACAGAGCCCCAGGTTCACCTGATCCTGTCTGCCTTCAGGCTTTTTGCAGTTCTGCTCCTTCCTTGTTGCTGCACTTTGATCTTTGTTCAAAATCCGTTCCTTTTTTTTGTTTGTTTTTTGTTTTCTGTCCGTTACCCCAGAATTATGGTACTTCAAGGGCAATGCAGCTGAGGTGATTTTTGAGGTTTTTGGATTGGTCTGTGATACCAATCTTGCTGCTTTTTTGGACTTCTGCACCTTGGACCATCATGCAAGACAATTTGGGGTTGTAATGCTCTTTTACTATAAGGGGGAAAGGCAAATGTTCACGTAAACATCATGAAAATATTCAAGATTCAAAACAAGCCTGCATCAATCCCAATTTCATTTCAATCTCCATTTTCATAGGGGGACATAGGGCTGTGCTCGTGGGGTTTGGATGCAGATTGAAATAACTGAAGGGAACAAAGAGCTCAGATTAATTCCACAAAACAGATTTTCACCAAGCATCATTAAAATGATCAGATGGGAACTGAACTTGYRTGAACCCTGGCAGTTGCTCTTCAGTGTCAGCCCTTCCACAAACAATTACTAGTTGGATGGGAAAACACAAAGAAGCAGGGTAGAATTGATAATGTATTTTATTAACTCTTAAAAGTTTAATCCCATAAACCTTTCTGAAACCTTGTGAAAGGGTAGAAAGCCTTTGAAATTGAATGTCATAAAAGGCAGAAAAAGGTTCTCATGGGTTCCCCCAGTTTGTTGTTCCRCTTAGAGGCAGGATTGTTGTTACAAACGTTTGTCTGACCTGTCTAAACTCTGTAGGTAGCCTCAAGTTCCAAAGTTAGCCTTAGATTTATGCATTTTTTCCCCCTAACCTAAATCTTTCTGTCTGCAAATTAAGCCAATTTCATCCTTTGCATCCTCTTTGTAATGACGTTAGCACAGTGGAAGCCTGTTTAGTTTTCTTTTTTCAACATTCTTTTTCCARCTTTTCCTCCCAGTAATCTTTTCTCCGCTCCTCATTTTTCTTGCTCTCTTTAGGATTACCTTGAACTTGGGCACATTTTGTTTTTAAACATAGGATGCCAACTTGGACACAAAATTCCAGCACCAGCAAGTCTGGAATAATTATTTCAGAGCTTGGTTGTCTGTAAAAAGCCAAACAAACCAATCCCCCCTGCGATTCAGCAGCACTGAGGGTTATGAATGTTTGTAGGCACTGTGGTAGAAGTTTCCTCCAGACCTCTCTTACTTAATAAATCCTTGTTTCTGAACCCCCTGGAGCCTCTGCTGTCTATCCCAGGAAGTTCCTCAGATCTGACTCCCTCTGTTACCTTGGTAATGTGCCAGCAGGGGTTATCTGAGGACATACCTTGAATTTTCACTGATGTTAATGAGRTTTGGATTGTCTGGAGCCTCCTTCTTCTGTTTGAAAACAATGCCAAAGCTGTTTAACRTTTTCATCCATGTCCTGGGTGGTGGGACTGAGCACAACAAATCCAGACTCATTCCAAAGGTGTCCATGGGCAGAACGAGAGGCAAGGGACAAGCTGGAATACAGGAAAGTCTCTTTAAACATTTTGACTGTGAAGGTCATCAAATATCAGAATGGCTTGGCCAGAGAGGCTGTGGAGCTCCCAGATATTGCTGGAGAGATCCCAAACCCAGCTGGATGTGCTCCTGGGAATCCTGGTGGAGCTGATGCTGCTCTGGGCAGGGTTTGGGCTGGACAATGCCCTGTGCAGCCTCCCTGCTGCAAACCCCTGTGATGTCACACTGCCAGCACTGTCAGCACAGCCTAGGTGACACTGTCCTGTCCCTGGGGTGACACCTGATCAATCTGTGCTGCCCTTTGAACCTYGGATCCTTTCCTGAGCAGCTCCAGCCTGACCAATTACTCCCTGAATTTCACTTTCTTCTAACAGCCTGCATTCAGCTTCAACTCCTTCTTGTTGGCTTTCTGTCTCCCCCTCAGTTTAAAGCTGTTCTGAACTCCATCCCTGTCCCCCAT